CAGGACCCTAAGATCTTCCGGAGAGTCCCTTCTCTCTATCCCTCCAGCTTCAGAAGTGCGGCTGGCGGGAACGAGAGACAGGGCCTTCTCTGTGGTGGCCCCCCGGCTTTGGAACACCCTCCCTATAGAGGTACGATCAGCCTCTTCGCTGATGGTGTTTAGGAAGAGACTCAAAACTTGGCTGTTCAAACAAGCATTCGGCTAATCTGTGGCAATTCGAATATTGATGACTAAGGACAGGAAACATGGACAACGAATTCTGGATTGTGATTTCAACTCGAGATATATGGGATTATTATTGGTGGCCCAATAATTTGTTATTGTATGTGTATATGTTTTTAAATTGTAGATTGTTTTAACTGCTGTAAACCGCAATGAGTCGCCGTTCCAGGCTGAGATATTAGCGGTATACAAGTGTACCAAATAAATAAATAAATAAATAAATAAACGTACTCTGCTTTCCAGGAGAGTTCTTCCACCCAACTAAGGTCAGTCATCTATGGAAAATAATAGGACCTCCCTGTGCTAATGTGTTGCTCTAACCCTGGAATTAACAATACTGATTGAGGAAAACACTGGAATAGCATTAACAATTTGTGGCTTACTGGGCTCAGGTTTTATGCCCTTGTCATGGGATCTTGTGAACTACAAGGAAGAGTAAAATTGGAATAAGGGGACATGCCAACAGGGTATATATGGCTCTCCCATTAACATGATTCCAGAAGAATCTTTGCCACATAGAATGTAATGAGAGGCAGCCCTTGGGATTTTTTAAAACTCCCTGGCACAGGTGTGTGTGAACTTTCCCCGCAATTGTTTGATTTATATGAATATGCACATACGTATAGTCAATGTTGTGTTGTGGTTTGAGCATTAGACTATGACTATGGAGACCAAGATTCAAATCTCCACTCAGCCATGGACACCCATTGGGTGACTGTGAATCTGAAAAATCGTTCATTCTGGTTTGCCTTCTATTTTATATATCTTATAGTAATAAAATAAAGTGAAAATAAAGTAATAAAAGAATAAGGTTCAAGTGGGGTTTCAGTATGAACTTATGTATAGTTGGAGATATGAGAGAAAGGGGGATCTTGTTTGGGCTGCATGCAGGATAGAAAATATTGTTTTCCTTTATTTTAATTGTCTTCCCTAGGCTCGCGTGTATATTTGCAGAAGGAAAAAAGGGGGGGAAAGATACATTGTATAGAATTGGAAGGGAAAGTGTTGGCAAAGCCAAAAAAAAATGGAGACATGTGATAGCCACGTATGGATTATGCACTAGAAGCTGTAGCTCCTTGAAGCTATCTCCTTCGGAGCTTCGGACAATTGCTGGTGTGGATTGGTTTAAAGGGCTGAATCAGCGTGTGTATGTGTGAAGGAGACTGGGCTTTGTGTAGCTGGGGTTTGCTGCTGGTCTGGGAAGAATTGAGGGAGTCTTCCCCAGAGAGACGGGTGCCATTGCAATTCATCCTGGCTCCACGTCCTTGGGAAACAGTAATTTTACTTTATGAATGAGCTATGTCTCCCTTTTTTATTCGGGGTGAGGGTGGTCATGTTTGATTACAATTGTGGACAAATAACTCATCTCTGCCTCAAAGGAAGGCAGACAGTCCTCCTCTGTGAAAATTATGCCAAGAAAACCCCATGATAGGTTCGCCTTAGGGTCGCCATAAGTCAGAAATGACTTGAAGCTACATGGGCACAATAAATCCTCACAAGATGTTGCAATGGAAGGCCAGCAGTCAATTCACTGGAAGCAGCAAAAACAGTATATGAGCTCCTTCAGGTCAGCTGGCCAGTCATCCTCTGGTCTCCAGGGTCACTCTGAAACTGCAGCACCTTTGTACCTGCCTGCCATGAATCCTTGTTGGGGAAAACACCTCTGCTCACTTCCATCTGATATGCTATGTGTTGGCACATATGTACACATCACGTGCCTTCAAATGAAAAAAAAAACAGTTTCACGGGGGGGGGGGGGCACAAAATAATCAAATTGCTCCCTAACCCCTTCCCTAAGCAGAATTAGAACTGAGATGCAGACTACGTGGAAAGTAACCTCTCCCCCCAAATTGGCTTATAAGGAAAAACTGGAGCAAAGGGTAATCAATTTTATTCCAAGTGTATCTCATAAGACCAGGAAAAAATTAGAGTTCTGTTCAGAAATCAATGAATATCTTGTTTCAGCACAATGATATGATATAGAGATAACAGAATCACCACATTATTAAACATTATTACACTCTTATTCGTAAATTTTTTCTGTATTCAAGCATCTATGTCTAGGTTTGGCTGCTATTGAATATTTGAGATGAACTTAAGGAAGGGGGAAGATGTTAAAGTTTCTCTTTTGATTTATGAGTCATAGAAGGGTGTGATTCACACTCCTAGGCAATCTCCAGACAAGTCAAATTCTTTGTATATTGCAAGTCTTGCCCTTCTAGAAAGAATCTCATTTCTAAAAATAATGTAATTATGACTTGGCATGCTCTGTTTCTATACTGTATATTTCCAGCCTGGCTTTTTATTTCATTCCCATCTGTCACAACAAGTTTCTATGCATATCAGTTAAAATATATCCTTATACTTTACTCCTTCCATTCATCTGAAATTCTCCTTCAGCTTATTCTGTTGTAACCTGTCTGGGTGAGTATTTTTGCTGTTGCTTTGTACTGGTTTTGGAGAATCATGTATTTTCTTGCTGTTCATATCATTCTTCTTACTCTTGCCTGCAGGCATGTAGCCGGGGGGGGGGGGGCTTGGGGGGCTTCAGCCCCCCCCCCCCCGAAATTCTCATGGTGGTTCGCGAAAAGGCCTTACTGGTGCATTATTTAAACTGTTATGTTTATTCATATCATGATCTGATCACCATACTCAATATATCCCATATGCATGGGGGTATTGGGGTAATGATACAAAAGGTTTGCTAGGGTACACCCTCTTTCACTCAGACTCAGCCCCCCCGAAACTCACCCCCCCCGAAACCCCCCCTGAAAAAATTCACCCCCCCCCCCCCCCGAAACGAAATCCTGGCTACGGGCCTGCTTGCCTGGTCAGCTGAATACAACTAATACATATTCTGAAAGTTCAAATGAAATGCTGTCACATATGTGAGCAAGATGTTGATTAGAGAAAGTTACTAATGATACTTCAAAGTATGAATCTCCTTTTCCAGTTTTTGCAAGGAGGAACAAGAGTGTGCTCAGAAGCCATTGATCTTGTCACACACACACACACACACAAAGAAAACCTTTCAATATATTAATATGGACAGTTTGAAACATGGTATATATTAATTTATTATTTGGGAAAAGTGAAAGGAAAGTATAATATGCAGTGATATAGCTGGGTTAAATTTATCCTTCCTTGCTCACTGGCTGGGCCTTGGGCAGAAAGAGAAGCTGCAAAACTTCACAGATAAAACTATAAAGTTATCTACACCACCAAATTAATTCAATTTTCATTCAGAGCCTCCTTCTCCAAAGTTCACCCTTTCCCATAGCGCCACAGCTCATCACACTGGGGATTTTGGGCTCTTTGCTCCTCTTTGGGATGGGGACTGCCGAGTGCCATCACATGACACTGGCTGTGCCCCCGCCCCACTAATTGCTGAAGTGGTGAGGAAGCATTGCACAATACTTCCTTTACCGATAATGGGAGGTAAGGTGTCTTTTGGATAGCTCCAATGGAGCTACCTGCATTTTTGGCCCTTTCCCTCCTTCTGATGGGGGCAGGGTCAGGCACTTTGTCCTAATGTCCCCATGTGATGGGAGAAGGATGGAGCTTGTGCAGGTCATCACGAGGCGCCATGAGTGCCTTCTGTTTTGCCAGCAATTGTCGACAAAACAGAACTAACTGGGGGGAGGGGATCTGTATAATGGGGTCCTTACTTGTAATATATCACACGGACATTACATTTATGTCCCCACATTTCCAATACCCAAATTCAGATAGGGACTGCCCCCCCCCCTTTGTCAGGGCTTGTGATTAAGATAAAGATGAAGAGGGTCTCCACTCAGCATCTCAGTGAAGGGGAAACATAGAGCAGCAGCATGAGCAGCCTGACACTGAGGAACCTATCTCTGTAGAGCAAGAACAGCAATCTCAAGGGATACAGAGTCAGGGCAGGGTCAGGAACTTCAGGAAGCAGACCAAGAGGTACGTATTCCAGCTAGGCTGCAAATAAGGGCTGATGCAATTCAACTGATGAGATCTACCACCTCATCATATGGGGCTAGATTTGGTGGCAAATGCTGAGGTAGTCCTGGTCACTCATGGAGCTGGTCTACTCCTATCAAACAATGTTATGACAACTCTGTAGGTGCAGAGGGGCAGAATCAGCATGCTGCCACTGCCCTAGCAACACAGGAAGCTTCCCGTGTTGCCCAACCTATGGGTGGGGGGAGCCGTGCGCACCACGCTTACTCCACACTTCCCCTCATGTGATCGCTCTCCTGGTGATGCAGGCGATGCGAGGCATGGGGCACCAGATTCCCTATGCCTCGCAGTCAAGCAGACCACCACCTCCTTCTGCCACCAGCCATTTGATGAAGTAACTAGTTTGTTGGCTCAGGGATGGTGAGAACACTTAGGGAAATGGTATAAGTAGCTGAAGGCTGATTCAGTTAGCTGCTAGGAAAAATGTAGAGCAACTGCTACAGCTGGAATCTCTGCTGGTGAACTCTTGATTGGACCTTGACTTTGGCAACTTGACTTACAATGTCTGTGTTGGTGAGATTGCTTGGCATTGATGTTTTTAGAATGAATTACTCTTATGCTTCACCCTTCTTTGGAATGACTATTGTGTTTGACTCCAGGCTGCTTTTTGACTACAAGACAGTGAGCGGCTGCTTTAGCAGTAACTTTGTGAACAGGATTCTGACACCTTTCTCTTTGGGACCATCCCAGCCAAACTCAATCACACATGAGATCAATGCAGTGGAGGTAGATCAAGTCCCTCACAGTTGAAATGGTGAAATAAACTGTGGCTTTCTCCTCAGGGCCACAAAAGCATTGCCACTCCCTTCTCTGTTTATGGAACCTTCAAGGCATGGATGAAGGACCTTCAGGTATTTACTTTATCCTTAAGCACAGTTTGTTCAATTAACTGCTGAACTTCTGGGAAGTTACTGAGGAAACCTGTCACCCCAGGAGTACTGCTGCAAAAGGAACAGAAAATATGCTGGAAGTTCATGACTCTATTCTTTAAAATATTTCCCGTGGCCAGTCCCTCAGCTTGTCAATTGTGCAAATTTCTTGGGAGGCAAATGAAACATCCGGTGCTATGTATCAGACACACAGCTGTACTCAATGTTTAGCACTGTTTTATAGTTTAGTTTTGTGAGTTAATGTAATTAACCAGTGTACTTGTAGTAGCAGAACTGTATTATGTTTCCTGTGAAATTAATATTTGGTTCGAATACTGATGCAGAAAATGGCTCTTTCAGCTTGTTCCTTATGTTGTGTACCTGGTCTTCCTGTAGCCTCTCAGCTCACGTCAGCATTGCACTTGTTAAGCAGAAATACAGACATATCCTACCACCCACATAGATAATAAGAGTCTTTCCAGACAACAGCAACAGAAATATCTGAACATCATATTCTTTGCACTTGTTGTGATTGAGTGTATATCCTCCCATTCAGATGATTTATGGGTGGAAGCACTTCTATTACATGCAAGACTGAAATTCATACTGTGTTGAAAATGTTTTTTAAAGGAAGCCAATAAACAATTACAAATAAACTTAAATAGATCAATATTCTTGATATTTTTATTTATCCTATCCATTAACAGGATAGCGAAAAAAATCCCTAAAGCTCTTCTCAACATTTACAAAAATTGATTGCAAGCACAACTAATCTAGGATTGCAAAGAACCTGAATTTTTGGTTTGTAGCAACCGAAAGAAGGCATTGAATCAGGTGTGACAATCGTTAACTTTATTAATTAAACTATATGTGTCCATTTCTCTTCATTGGGAGTCCAAAGACAAGAACTTGGTGCCTATTTAAACACATCTAAATACTTAAACATGATTTTAAAAATGTATTCAATATGCCGTGTTATGTGCCATCCACGCTTACGGATAGGACATGGCTATGTTAGTAGAGAACTTACTATTAACACGTCCAAACAAGTTTTAATCACATCTGTACATCAGTTTTAAATATCTGTGTTTAAATTTGCTTCAGAAATTGATTTTGCATATAACCATTGTTGCTTTGTTAGATACACACTAGATAAGGAAGGGTAAGCTGTAAGGGAGAGAACAGGAGCCTGGCCCAGCATCATGGTTCCAGCAGCTGATGCAAGGCCCTCCCTCTAGACCAGAGCTTTCCAGACATTTTATGTTGGTGACACACTTTTTAGGCATGCATAATTTCACGACACAATAATTTGATTTTACTAGCAAACCGGAGGTGAAACCAACCTCTTATAAAGGATATGGACACATATATGAATTGTGGCAATAAAATGTATGGGAACATAGCATATCTCATGAAAACCTTTCATTTATATTTTTATAAAATATATGATTCATTGCTTATTTCACATAAATATAGAGATTTCCCATTAGGTTCATGTGACATACCTACCACTACAGCTGACACACAAACATGTCATGACACACAGTTTAGAAAGCTCTGCTCTCTGCCAATTGCCATTGCTGTGACTCTAAAGTGACTCCCAAACTTTTTTTGACCAGGGCCCACTTGACCGGGGATCACAGGTTGAGAACCACTGCTTTAGAAGGAGAGAAGAGTGGTCAGCATCTGGTGGACTCAGTCCTCTTCTCCACTGCCATTCCTTTTTCCTTGTCTTTTTCTACTATAAGACTGAGGACCGAGAACTGTCAAATTAAAAATGTGTAAGCAAATCTGGGAGAGTTTTTTTTTTTTACTAAGGCTCCATCTACACTTCTATATAATGTAGTTTCAAAATGCAGTTAAACTGCATTCTGAAACTGGATTATATGGCAGTGTAAATGTGGCCTGAATGCCGAAGTGTAAAAGCTATATATAAAGAAACAGAAATAATTTTACATGATGCTAAAATAGATTTGACTGGAAAAACCACATGTTTGATGATTCAGAATCAGTTATTTTTGTTGTTGTTAACTTTATTTCTATCCCGACTTTCTTCCCATAGGGACTCAGGATGGCTAACAGTTTTCCCCACTGACACATTTTAAAAATAAACACTATTGTACTAGCATTCAAATATTACAGAAATGAGTTTTCAAGCGAATTGAAAGACAGGCATTAAAGATTTCTTGAATACACTGATGTGGTAATACTGAAGGTGTGTTAAGGTATTGTGGACACTTGGTATCTGCTGAAGTTTAGTTCCAGCCCTGTGGATATCAAACTGCATGGATGCTCAAGTCCTGCTTGTTGCACTCCAGGCCTGGAAACACCTATAACCACACTGCACCACAGGAATATAAGCAAACTGTTTAATGTAGAAACATATAGAAAGCATATAAATTAGGAATAAGAAAGACAGATACATAATCCCAAAAGGGTTTAGCAACAGGTGATAATCCAACAATAATCCAAATGTCTCATAAAGTTCCAGAGGTGATAAAGTCCAGGAACAACCAGGAATCACAGATACAGCATAAGTCCACAATCAAGAAGGTATAAATAGTAAAACTTGAACAGGAGTACAAGAACAGGAACATAGAAAACTTCAGGCTATATTAAATCCAAAATCAACGCTTGACTTGAACCAGGAACAAGAGAATTCAGATTTAGTTTCTCACTCTAATGCACCATTGCCTGGATTGACCTTAAGGTAAACAACTTGTTTAATAGACACCCATGAAATCATTCTGTTTCCCGTGAATTTCCTTCACAACTTTCCCACGTAATCTCTCTGAACGACGCAATCTATTTTCAGCTGTTCTTTGTAAACAAAGACTTTTGTTGATCTCCGTAGCTACAGGTGGATTCCCCTGGAAAGCCTCTTTATCACTCAGCTCTTCACTCGATTCGTTATCTAATGTCGCACCTTTTTATTCCCCTGAATGTCCTTGAGGCCCTGCACAGAATCACAGAGTTGGAAGAGACCTCATGGGCCATCCAGTCTAACCCCCTGCCAAGAAGCAGGAATATTGCATTTAAATCACCCCTGACAGATGGCCATCCAGCCTCTGTTTAAAAGTTCTAAATCATCGGTTAACCCACCAGCCTCTGGCAGCTGATGTAGAACACAGCTATATATAGTGTAGTTATATAAAATTGTATAATCAAAGTTTGTTGGGAGGATTCTTTTTAAATATTTTTAATTTGTGGGTGATTAAATCCATAGTAAAGAATCTATGGATACGGAGGGCTAGCTGTATAGAAACGTGGCTTTAGGCTTATCAATCTGCTACAGACTGCACACATCTCAAAACTACTTCCCTTTCAAAAGGCAATGGGAGGACTCCATTTATAAATACTGTGCTAGTTAGATATTCGGGCGTTGGAAGAAAGACGGAAACAGGGGAAAACATTGCAATTATTGTTTGATGCCATCTGTTTAGATTTCAGTGAGTCCTCTGTGGTAATGATTTGATCTTTCTCCCTTGACTTCTGGGAAGGATCTCTCTTAGATCTCATCTTATGCCGTCTCAAACTGGTATTGAAGAAAGTGTTTTCACTGTGCAGATGATTACATAGGAAATCATTAAATGATCAGTACAGACGGGACCTCAAATTGTGGACACCTTGAACAATGGTATCAATCAGGAATGAGTGTTTCTTAACACCTAGAAGCTGTAAACAAGCCAGCATTGAAGTGACTTTTGCCACTTTTTATCTGCTGCCTGGGAGAAGAGCCAAGGGCTGGACTGCAAACTGGAAGGCAACCTCCCTCCACCATACCAGCCCCACCCAGGGGTCAAATTAAACACCATAGAGAAGCAGTGCCAAGGAGGTGAACAAAGAGTGGAAATTCCTGCGTAAAGTCCCATTACGGAAGCACTGGGTGCTCTTTGTTGTCCTCCTGGGATTTCACCGTCCTGAATCATTAACTCAATGTCGTCTACAAGTACAGTGACCGAGTTTGCTAACACGGTGAAACCTATGTTGGGTCTGGGCATAATTGGGAAGAGAACCATACTTCCTTTACACCATTTTTGGTGTGGCATTTTGGAATAATGTGCACATTTTTGGTCATGGAACCTCAATATATAATACAGTATGGTACAATCTATATATAAATTAAAATGTTCGTTTGTGGGATTGACATAACTCAAAAGCCACTGGACAAATGGACACCAAATTTGGACACAATACAAGAGTGACCATCACTCATAAAAAAAACACTGAGAAACACAGCAGAAAAGACTTAAAAAGCCAAAAAAAATTAAAGCGCATGCGCAAAACCACATATACACACACATACACACACATAAAACACATATACACAAACTGAGCCACAGCAATGCATGGCAGGGGACTTCTAGTCTATATAAATAAAAATGTAATTTTTGTTTGTGGGATTAACATAACTCAAAAACCAGTGGACAAACTGACACCAAATTTGGACACAATACACCTATCAGGCCAACAAGTGACTTTCACTCATAAAAACAATGAAAAACACAGTGGAGGGGACTTAAAAAGCCAACAAATAAAAAAACATCCATAAGTATATACACACATACATAAATATATACACACATACATGCACATATACACACACAAAGCACATATACAGAGACTGGGCCACAGCAACGCGGGACAGTTAGTCTATATAAATAGAAATGTAATGTTTATTTGTGGGATTAACATAACTCAAAAAGCACTGGACAAATGGACACCAAATTTGTCTACAATACACGTATCAGGCCAACAAGTGACCATCACTCATAAAACACTGAAAAACAGCAGAAGAGACTTAAAATGCCAAAAAACAAGAAATGTATTACAGCGCATGTGCAAAACCACACACATATATATACACAAACATACATATGTACACATATAAACAAATATATACACACTCAAAACACATCTACACAGACTGGGCCACAGTCATCAAGTAGATGATCCAAACATGAGCAATCCAAATGGTTACAAAATTTGGTACTTCTTAATTGTGAAGAAAAGGTATGTAAGAAGAAATGTTAGATATATTTCCAAATAAACATGGGGCAGGTAGCATTTAAAAAATGGAGGTGGCACCTGCCAGAGCAACAGGTGGTCTTGGGGATAAGAACCCCCTCCTCTGTTAAAAAACAATGCATAGAATCATTGAAGAACAGAATTGCAAGGCCATTCAATGCTAATCAAGGTGACCAGTTGCAACATTCACACTTGCCTCAAGCAGACAAAAGTTCTTTCTCCCAGCCTGGACATTATTCCACAGATATAAAAACCGGTAATAGTATGATAGCTGGGTCTGGAAACTCTGAGTGTTACGGAGATGCCGCATCGCTCCTTTGGGAGCGCTGTTTGCCCAAGAGAGACTTAGCTAATGTAAGCCAGGCCTGAGACAGATACTCTAGAAGGAATGTAAGAGTTCTTTAATGGTGAAACTCTAACCCTTACCCTAACCCTGATCCGTACCCGTAAGCCTAAGCCTAACCCCTTACCCAAACCTTACCCTAAACTGTACTCTAACCATAACCCCTAACAGTAACCCTAACCCAAAACCTTGCCCTAACCCTAAGCATGCCGTCCTTTCTATCCTTCCTTCGCTCTCCCCGCTCTCTCTCCGCCCCCTCTCTTCCCTTATTCACAACCGCCTTTGCAGCATCTCTGTAATGCTGAGCTTCCGGGCCCAGCTATAATACTATCACCTAAAAAGCTCACTTGCCTAGTTTCCAACAGACCCCTCAACCTCTGAGGATGCCTGCCATAGATGTGGGTGAAACGTCAGGAGATAATGCTTCTGGAACATGGCCTTACAGCCCAGAAAACTCACAGCAACCCAGTGATTCCATGTCATGAAAGTCTTTGACAACACAGAGCTGGAAGAGACCACATGGGCCATCTAGTCCAACCCCTGCCATGCAGGAAGAGCACAACCAAAGCACCCTCAACAGGTGGCCATCCAGCCTCTGTTTAAAAGCCTTCATAGGAGCCTCCACCACACTCAGGACAGAGTTCTACTGCTGAGCAATTTTTTCTCATGTTCAGGTAGATGCATCTACACCAGTGGTTCTCAACCTGTGGGTCCCCAGGTGTTTTGGCCTACAACTCCCAGAAATCCCAGCCAGTTTACCAGCTGTTAGGATTTCTGGGAGTTGAAACCCAAAACATCTGGGGATCCATAGGTTGAGAACCACTGATCTACACTGTTGAATAGATGCGATTTGACACCATTTTAACTGCAATGGTTCCGTCAAAGGAGTTATAGCTTTACACCTTCTTTCTTCTTTGAGAGCGCTGGTGCCTCTCCAAAGTACAAGTCCCAGGATTCCACAGAACTAGACCATGGTGCCAAACCGCATTCATTCCACAATGCAGATGCACCCAGAGCTGTTTCTAACGGAAGAGGCGGCTCTCATTCCCCAAAGGCCACACATTTCGTTTGGCACGCGCCACTCCTGGCCCGTCCACTGTCTGCGCGCGCATCTCAAGAACCCCGAGCGCGAGGACCGTTGGCGGCCCAACGAAGAATGCCCCCCCCCCCTCCGCTCTCCAGTCCCAAGGTGGGCGCCCTCAGCCGTTAACTTCCAAGCTTTGCCCATCCCGCAGTCGATCCCCATTGGCGGAGAGAACAGAGTGCTCGATGGCGATTGGCTAGGGCAGAAGGGGTGGGCGGGGCCGAGGCGGAGATTGTTGTGGCAAGCTCTGGAAGATTCCTCCGCCCGCAGTATAAAACCGGAGGGGACGCGCCCGGCCCGGCATTAGAACCCGAGGCGGTGAGGGCGAGCCATGGGCAAGGACTACTACCGCACCCTGGGCCTGTCCCGCGGGGCCAGCGACGACGACATTAAGAAGGCCTACCGGAAGCAGGCGCTGCGCTACCACCCGGACAAGAACAAGGACCCCGGCTCCGAGGAGCGCTTCAAGGAGATCGCCGAGGCCTACGACGTGCTCAGCGACCCCAAGAAGCGCGAAATCTTCGACAAGTTCGGCGAGGAAGGTGCGCGGGGTGGCCGGGGGGGGGGGGGCAGGAGGGATCTGCGCATGCGCCTTGGCGTCACATTATTCGCCACGGCTCGA